TCTGAGGCGTTGACACAGGTCTTGTATGATTGCGCTGTTTGTGGTCCTGGAAACACTGCCCTTGGCATGGGGGTAAAGAATGAACATGATCTTCCGGATTACTCTACGGATGGATAAGGACAAAACAAAAGGGTCAATGTTCCGTCTTAGGGTGGGAAACCGCGGCACGTCTCCATGCAATGGTTGACCAGAACCAGCAGTCATGGTAAACAGAGGCTAACGGTGGCAACATACAGGCTGGTACCGTGTACTCAAGATGGAATAACTCAGTCATTCAGAACCTGTTCGTTGGAGAACAGAAAAAGTTGTTGCTGTGATTGTCTTGGTGGATACTGCCATCTAGAGGGCCAGGCGGTTGTACTCGCAGCAATGGAATTGCCGGACTCTGCATTTCCTGAGTTTCATCACATATCATTACTGTATGAGTAGTCATTCTGCTTTTAGCTATGGTAGTCCGTGCTATTACAGCACCTATGTCACCAACTTCTAAATACATGACCTGCGTTGGTTCTAATTCGGGTCATATTCATGGTTTTGATAGTGAAGTTCATGCGTAGCTGGCTCGGTCAGATACAAAGAGAATGTTGCGTTGAGTGTTGATGATTGATGGATTTTTAACCACACAAGACGCGAGCCCAGTCAACCTGACCTGCTGCAGCACTGATTTAGGTTAGCTCAGCTAGACGGCCTGGCGTTTGAGGAAAGCTCTCATTGGAAGCCTCCGTGCTCCGACTCACCGTCAATTGTTGACCTCAGCTATATCAACGAGATTGACGCGCGGGTTTCCATGGAGGCAATAATCAACCTCCCAAACTCTCCTCATCTCAAGTGACTTGGCAAAGTACAGTATAATGTTCAGTCGGAGGATGTGTCCATTCAACTGGGTAATGGCAGTGCACAATAGGCCCTCGAAGAGTGTCCGTGTGAAGGGTGCCCGTCTGGTAGCTGGGTGAAAGACCTCGCACCAACAAGGTACTCTACCCAGGCTCTGCGCAGAGCAGCGCCCGGTTGGGTCAGAAAAAAGGTAGGTATATGATTCGAACAAGGTGCAAATTCCTAAAGATGACCAGCCAGGGCTGTGTTTGACTGAAACCACGGCTTCCCTACTGGAACGCGAACGGTCGCGTGAAGAGATAAAGTTGCCTCTTCGTTTCGACAAATTTTCACCAGGTACCGAAACTTGAACACCCCAATTCTACTCCTTCATTTGACCAGCATCATATTACGGCCTCAAGACTGGTAGGGCGTATAGACGACCATCTGTTTTTCATCCAAAATGTGGTGGGCTCTTTAAGATGCCGGATCGCGGTCTATCATAACCCGGGCCTGGGGATCTGGATGTCCTGCAGATCAAGGGAAAGGCAGGTGGAGCCGGTGGAAAAGTGGTGAAAAACTTCGCAGGGTGGGCATTTCAGGTATTCCATTGAACCATCTTCTTTGGAACGGGTATGTGCCATGAGAAGTTGGGGGACATTGATAGCTGTAAAATTGCCCGGCTAGTATAGTGTTCCTAATCAGGTAATAGAGCGTCACGCTTGGCATCGAAGTGCGCGGTCTATAAAGTCACATTCATGGGCCGCTCAAGGACAGCCAGCTTTTGTGCTACAGTATATTGTCTCCTAACCGTTCTGTGTCTCAAAGTGTTCTACAAAATTGCCATTCGATATGACTTTTTATGTTCTAGGCTTTGCTAGTCTTCTTACTGGAATGTGAAGGCTAACCTCCCGATTTGAGGCCGAGTCAACACCTCCAGGCCCAGTGAGGATAAGGTATTGCTGGGGCGGGAGATGCTTTAGCAATACCCTCGAGCCTCCCTTACAGATACTAGTTTGCTTAAGTGGGAGTTGCAGCAAGCCTGTGTACCCACCAAATGACAACAAGTGCCCGTTTTGACTTGTTGCCACGAGCTACGCTTTAGGAGGTGCTTCTGCAGGTAAGCGACCAATTTTTATAGATCTTTGGTTCTTTTTAAAAGATTGGGCAAGGTGCATCCTCCGCGATTCCGACCGGGAACATATTCTGGTTCTTCTTCCGAGATTGGCCTACGGAATTCTTACTGCACAGCTTCTTCTCCACCGCTTCTAAAACGGCATGCTCATGTTCTCTCCTGCAATCTGTGTATATAAGTCCGGACCTCTTCTTCCCTTGTCCAGGCGAATACGTGTGTTCGTCGGGAATTGACGCAATATGCCGTTGAGTTATGAGTCCAGACACCTGCCCGAAGTAGGCAGAAAGTTTCGATTTTTCGGGTTCAGAGACGCCGACTTTAGAAGGACATCCAATTCGGAGTCGCCTCACTGCCTTCAGCTCGGCTCCGTCGTTTGACGGGAAGCGGGTGAGTAATATCGGATAAATGCAGGCCAGTGTTTCTTCTAACGATCACGCATGATAGGTTGCGTCTCCCTTTCCGTGCGTGCGCCTCAACTACGGTCCCAGTATGCAGACTTGCTATTATTTGAAGCTTGTTGGAGAAGGATATGGGCTGATTGTTTGCCCCATCGTTGTGCGCTCTGCCCTGGGAGATGATCACGGCACTCACCCAGATGCTATGGAGATGGCCGTTGAACACAAGTAATCAAGTGAGCCAGGGAAACGAAATGATGACACGATCTGCTCGCACGATGTTCAAGTGGGAGTGCGGTTGTGGTTTGCTTGAGAAGCCAACAACATCGCTGACCGCTCCTATAGGACGATTTCTGTACTGCCAAAGGTAATTCTGAACCTCTGCTGCACGGTACCGATAAGGTGGCACATCCTTTGCGAATATAGCCGATAGATGGACGATATAATCGGACGTCTACTCCGCTCAAGTTGGCAAGGGATGGGGCGAAACTGTTCCCCTGCGTCCAGAACACCCAGGACGTCCCTGGTGGCGGCTGCGTGACGGACGTGCGATTTGTCACTAGACAGCCATAGCCGAAGTCAGTTTCCATATCAATGCCCCCTGGACATAGGAGAGCGTTATCCAGCTGGTTGATGGCGTTGGTGGTCATGACCAAGATGTGGCCTCCCCGCGCAGTTACGTCATGAATACTGTTGAGCAAAGCAGACAGAGCGGCCCCGTTGGAGGATAGATTCAACTGTCCGCTTCCATTTCACCGTTCTGTTCACCTTCGGAAGTCCCGTGGATGTTGTCGGGAACGTGATATCGACGTGCCTATGATAAAGCGACTCAAACACAGTGGCCAGATTATGTTTCTCAAGGGTCACCGCCAATGGCCTCTATCACGAGCAACGGGTAGGCGTTGGTCCCCACTTGATGTTCATTCACTGACGAGAGACGCCCCACACGACTCGGGACCCCAAGCGATAGCATGGAACGAATTGGCTGCCAAGTGTATCGGCGAGCCAAATCCACAGCAAAGAGGCACCCTCGCGGTGTAAAATAGACGGGGAATTACGGACTTTTCTTCACTTGTCGATGAGATCCAATGGGTAATGATTATGTCGTGTCGAACCCTCAAAGACTAAACCATCCAGTAGCATCGTCGCGCAAACGGGCAGTCAACGAGAGAGGTAAGCCAATTAATGGCGTTTGGAAAAGGTTCTCGCTGACTAGTGTTTGATTGTATAATTCATCTCAGCAAGATCGTACAACGGAAGCATCCTCCACAGTGCTTATATTAAACGGATTGTGGGTATCGAGAGTGACGCAATCAAGAGTCGTTCCGCTACGGTGATTCCATTTACCAAAAATAAGAAGGATCGAACTTTATAACTACTACATAGCATATTTAGGTATCATCGAGCCGGCGCATTCTGCGGGGACGAATGGATCTGAGACTGACATGCATTGATGCCTGAGGCAATGATGGACTGGTGAGTAAGCTGGTAAACACGCATTCTATCGAGCACTCTGTTCCCCGCGCCCGCCAAACAACACCCCCAAACGTTGTTGAGTTAAAATTATACTCGATTATCTACTGAGTGCTCGTTTCAAACAGAGATGGAGGAAACGATAACCGAATTGTGATGTCAAATCGAAGAACAACAAAGGCTGCGAAAAGCGGCAGAGCGCCGCAAGGAGGAAGAGAACTAGCACAAGAAGCGGTAGAACGGAGTGCAACCCAACACATTATTTTGCCTTCTTGATCGCTGCCACAATTCTCTGTCCCAAGCTACTGTATCCAAGTTGAGGCAGATCAGGGATCATCTACGCCAAGCACATCGTCCCGTGGCTTGACTTCCCCCAACTATTAGGAAATCTGGGGAAGTTCGACCGCACCGCTACCTTTCCCTCTCGCTCACTGTCCCCTTCTGATACCCAGATCGATGACGTTACGGATATCCAGAACAGGCCGGTCTATTTAGAGCGTCTCTTCGGAATATTGGGCGAGACACGGTAGACAACTTTGTCGAAAAGGTCATTGAGGCGTTGCGAGACGATGGACACTTTCAACGTGATTTTGGCATCTAAGGCCAAGTCACCTTCTACGATCGCACAAACCCGTCGGAAACTTCGCTGGAGCACAGCCTGGAGCAAATGATTCTTGAGGACGCGCGGACACTGTCACGACCGGCGAACACGAGGCTTGGATGAGGTTGAGGAAGGGGACGAGGAACCGCGCAGAGACAGAAGAGGGGTGGAACCGCGCGACGACGCGAGCGGTGCGCCGGCCAGTTCTGCGTGCACCTTGTGGCGGATGAACGGCAATACCTGTGTATGCAGTGGAGTTCGAAGCGCCGCACAAAGTGACGATCCCTGAATTGGTGGGGTGGCGGGTCTACACCGGGGATCATTTACTGCGCCTCTGGAGAAGCAGCATCGCCTTCAAGCGGAAGTGGACAATGATCACCACCTTAGGAACTTACAGGACAACACATCCCTGTGTGTATTGGGCACTTTAAGCCTCGTGTGGCATATTGGTACCACGGCAGAAGAATGGCACAGATGATGATCTTGGGCTGGTCTGGAATGCGGCTTCAGCATGTCATCCATGATGGGAACACCAGCTTTTTTTCGTCAATCAAGAGCGCGACAAAGCTCTGGCCGAGATCCGGTCGTGCGGAGCTATCCACTGCGGCAGTGAGTGGCGTAACATGCTGTGGCATGACCTGGGTGGCCATCTGGTTGTCGTTGACCTGGAGGACGTGGAATGGTTGAAGCGCCCTTGCGCCCTTGGGCCCTTGGTCGCATCTCGGACAGTACGCAGCGCACTCGCTGCGTCGGAGCGACGAAATGTAAGCCCGGCTTCGGAAAGGTGGAGTATAAACAATATGGCAGTTTCTCAAGCTTGTGACAATCTATTCGGAAACGTTGCAAAGCATGCCGCCACAAGACATCGTGGTCTTTATCTTACACCGAGTAATAAATACGCATTTTGCAACACGAACCGTCCATGTTGCAAGAGCCCGTCTGCACGGCAGGCTTGAGCCGCGGAAATGTTACACGACCTCTAGGTAAGATGCTAGAGATGCATACATCCCATCAACCAGCCCCCGCCGACCGAAATTCTTCCAATGTTTTTAAGTCGATTTCGCGGCTAGCTCCAAAGTATTTATAGCTCACCTGGTTGGTATCCGCCTCCGCAAGAGCATGTTCAGTCACCCAACAGTGGCTCAGATCATCTTCCCCAACATTAGTGTCCCGATGAGATTATCCAAAACTTCTTTCCCTCCTTAGATGCGAATAGAATCCGGTAACTGCTTGTCGCTGAACATAATGATACGATCACTGGCTTCACAGTCCGTGATTTCAAGGCGGTCTAAAAAAAGTTCATCCCGAATGGCCGTGGGTACAGTAGTTGTTGTTGTTGTTGTTGATTCATACGCTGACCCCTCGCCTGAGCGACATGCAGGGTACTACTATCTCCACGCTCTATGTACATCCATTCATCGTAGACTATTACTTTCCTGATGAACTTGGAGCCTCGTCAAGGCCTGAGTCGGGCCGATCCGCCTCACTTTGAACTCTATGAAGAGAATGAAAGAGACCCTACTAAATTAAATGGGTATCCCAAGAGCAAGAAATGACATCTCAGTAATTGAAACCGGCAAGACTGCGGGAAAGAAAAATAGCAAAGAATGAAGCCTCGCTAAAGAGGTGTATATCAAGAGTAAATCAAAATCGTTCCAGCTTCATCGTTTTGTCAAGGTTACAAGAACTTAGCTTGGAGAGATTATTTTACGACCAGCTTACCCCGCTCTCACCGGAAAGAGAGTCTCACTCTTCCTTCCTAAGACCATAATTCTGTCGATAAGTGTCCTGAAACGCCAATAGAAGTTTAGTGTCTTTAAATCATTGATCAAGCGCCTATGAATACGAGAAGTAGGGTGGCTAATAATTATTATTGGATCGTTGATCTCGGAATCCTCGGTCGAACTTAGCGTCACGTGCATTCCCTAACACCCCTATGCGCCCACTATAAATTATATCATTCCATTCGGTTTTTTCAAACATATTCGCATTCAGTGCTTTCACAACATCAGAATACATGCCAAATGGACTCAGATCAGACAGTATGTACTTATTTCTCTGTCCTATGTATGCGCAGATATTGAAATTGTATAGGTTACCGTTGCTTTTGATATAGAAAGCTCGAGGCTTGTTCAACTCGCACCACCTCCACAAGCTCCCCCTAGATGCCCACGATGTCGTAGGACTGGCGTTGAGCAAACCACTCGGCCATCCAATAGGAAAGGAAATGCTGGGCGGGTTTATTACAAATGTCAGCCTTGCAATAAGTTTCTTTGCTTCATCGACCACCGTGGGAATGATCCTTCCAATCCACCCTGTCACTGTGGGGTTTCGAGCAAAACTCAGATGGCAGGCCCTGAGAAACGTATCTCACGGGGGCTACACTATGTCTGCAGGCTAGGGTGCTGTGATTTCTATCAACCATACAGGAATGGCCAAGGGCAGCACCTCACTGTTTCTTCCGATGATCTTGCCGAGCATTTGATCAAGCTTCGTATCGTATAAGACGTATTTGAAGACTGTTTGATGAAGGTCATCAATATCATGTTTCAATCTTTTTCGGAAAGAGATGATTGCCGTGTTTCCCCGAGGTTTTTCTATAATGTCTCTTTGTCAAAATATATAAGCATACATATATCTCACATTACACTCAATGAATAACGAAAGGAAGAGAACAGAATCATGCATTCTATATGTAGTTACCGCTATTGATTTCAATATCAAGTCCTGCATTTCGGAAATGACCTCCCGCACTTTGTGCCCTTGTTCCATTCTTGCTAATGCACTAGTTAAGGAAATTATCAAATCTTTATTAAGGGTTGTTGGTGTATGACTGCTAATGATACGAATAAAACCATTTCCTTGAATCTGGTTGAGGTAAGGAGAGTACGGAGGTAGATACTCTAGTTTAACTCTTTTTCCAAAGTGTATTTTGCCAATTCTTTCAGAATATGAAAGAACGTATTGTCCCTAAAAAAGCTGATTTTAGAGGATGGTGTTTTCTTACTGTGATATAGAACCTTTTTAATAAAACCTTCGGAGGATACGGTATCTGTCGCACTTTGGAAAATACGGAAAAATAGGACCTTATTTGGAATATATACTAGAAGAATCTGGTAGCTTTGATCGTGGTGGAATTTTGATACTTACATTATTGTTGTACCAAGTAGAGCCCAGCTAGCCTTTCTCAGCTCTGTCTGCTTACTACGCTGAGATTCATCTATATAGAGGTGGTATAAGCTAAACTCCATGATAAGATGGCAATAATTATTATGGATATCTGGGTCACATTATTTCGCTTTCTGTCGAGCTATCTTCTTGGACTACCCTTTACGATACAGGGCATCGCTGATCGTAGATTTAGGTACAGATACTTCGAATTCATCAATAAGGAAGAATTCTATCTCATGAACGTATAAATACGGCTTGTCGAGCAGATGGTCACACGGGGCTTCTAGTATAATCGGAGTGATGCTCCGTGGCTGTCCAGGTTTGATAGGAGGGGCTTTGACACTAACGAATAGCCGCAGGTTAGACCGGATTCTGATAATAGCGCGCTTGCTGCAGCCTGCAGCTCTCGCTATCTGTGAGGTAGTTGATGCATTACTGGCAATCATATCATGAATCAACACGAGAGTAGACGGCTAGGTTAGGAGCCATGGTTCGCTGCCGCTAGCAAGTGGACGTGGGGCACTCAGGTTGCAGTTTCTTGCCTTACAGGTAATAAACATGTTTCCCGCTATTATGATAGTCCGGTAATTTACGGTACATCTTCAAAATCCTTTTAATGCCAATGAGGCTCAGCAAACCTCTTCTTAAAGTAGCTTAGTGTTCCTTGGCATTGGGGTTCCAGAAACAAAGAGAGAGTGCCAGGGGTGACACTGAATTTCGAAATTACAGTAAGAACCGCCGGTAGCGGTGGCGTAGTGGTAAGCGCTCCGAGGCAACTTCCAAATATGCGGGGTTGGTCACCTTGCTTTTTGGAGGTGGTGGGTTCGATTCCCATCGCCGGCACCACATTTACCACAACAATGGAATTCGTTCCCACAATAGTACCCAACCCTTCCCCTTATGGCAAGGTGGAGAGGAAGAGAAACAATCACAGGCCTCGGCGAGGCTCCAAATTCGTCAGGAAAGCAATAGTTTACAGCAAAGACATGTATTTAGAGAGATAGCTCCATAGTGGATACCTGCATATCGCCTAAGCGAGGGGTCAGCGTATGAATATACTACTACTACTACTCTGTAGCTTCCAGTGATTATGGGATGAGGTCTTTGAAAGCAAGTCTTGAAGACATGTTACAGACCAAGAAAAAACGTAACCAACGGGTTCGATCCGAGGGCACAGCTATCACGGTCTCAGTAGATGAGCGGTCGCTGAAAAGTTCTACAATTCTACTAATTTCGGTTGGACACCAGTGGAAAAGCAGCTGCGTAAGTGGAGCAATCTACATCGTATTGGTAAGACACTCAGAGTCATTATTGCCTTCCATTATGGGTACGATGATAGTTCTTTACCTACATCAGGTAGGGTCGATAAGAGAGGCCCTGTGTCGGCAACTAGAAGAATGCTTGCTGAACGCGACGCGCAAATCCAGGCGGAAGAGGAGACTACTGGACGACCATCCACTTGGAACCTGGTCTATGGACGTATGCGATGCGATGTCCGCTGATGTCATCTAAACTCTAATTGGTGCTGGGAGGACCCTCTGGATAAGAAGCATTATAAGCTCAGGTCTTCGCATTTAGGCCGGCTAAATTCCTATGTCGATGGTGGTGGCAGTCTAGAGTGTCATGATGATGTCTTTGGTGATATCCGTCGAGATCTCTACCCGGAAAACCAACATCGGGTAGAAAGAGCATCTAAAAGGGCTAAAAGCATACATGCAACGGAAGGGCAGTATTCTCCAATCAACATCAATGTCCTGCCAGCACAGTGTCCCTCTGCGATGACTACTTCTCCGTCTGGACCTGCCAATGAGCATCCTGTGATTCCCGGGCCACGGGAAGCAGCTGTGAGGGATTACTGCAGGTGGCTAGAGTCGCAGGCTACAGAAGAGGCATACAAAGCCGACTATGAAAAAGTGTGCAAAGTGACGCTAGAAAATCATCTAGATCTTGAACTAATCCTTGAGGTTCCAGATCCCAGGTTCTTCATTGAGCAAGGGATCAAAAAGGGAACAGCCCTTCATTTTGTCCGTGACATTTATAAATGGGCCAAGTATATGGAAATAAACTCTTCTTGATTTTGGCTGTGGAGACTCCCAAGTTTTAATAGATTGTGTCCGTGGATTGAGTGACCCACGAAGGACACGCTGGCCCATACTGGTTGTGGTGTTCGATGTTTCAGTCAAGACAAATGCTTATTAAGCACGCACATTCGAATTTATAATTTGGAGAGCTGTGGGCGTACATTCGCAAGTTAGAACAAACTCGTACAGTGACAGCAAATTGGAAAGAGGCAGGGAAAGTTGAGGAAGTTCTTGGCGTTGTTGGAAACGTACTTTCTGGCATCCTTTGTTCGCTGCTAACAAGTGCTGGCGTTGGCTGGCTCTATCCTATAAGGGAATAGTGGCTGATGATATATTTACCCCGCCTCAGGTATCTAGTTTCCCTTAATAGCCAATCAAAAGGTAAAAGATCCACTCCTGGGGGAGGAACTATCATGCATGTGACCGACAACCCTCGCATTTACCCAACTCCAACTCAATTTTCGACGGAAGATGAACGATATAGTCAACCATTCAAGACATAGGTTGAACAATGATGGATGAGGCTAGTATGAAAAGTACAAGAAGGGAGATCAAGTACAACCCCAGAATAGTTATATGTACATTAGGTATTTTTTTTTAGCAGCAGCTCAATTCTCGTGATATACTGTATATTGTAGCACCACTGCATGCTTGGAGCCGGCAAGTGACTGGTGCACAAGCGAGACACGTCAGACCTGCATGCCCTTGCATTTCTCCTCTTTCAGGGATGTAGATTCAAATACATAGTCGATACATCCCCTTGGATTTCTAAACACTTGTTTCCTAGCGTTGCTAGTTATCTCTATATCACTGCAACCAATCCACACGACAATGGCAAAAAAAGGCACCAAGAAGAAGAGTGTGAAAAAGGCCTTGGAGCCTCGGGAGTGCTCGGTGATTGATTACAACCAGCCAGAATCATCGTAAGGACTTATATAGCCAAGACGCATCATCTTCTGGATAACTAACTCCATATGACAATGTAGTCTATACGAACGTCCTGTTATAAAACTTCGCATCGGACAGAAGGAGTATTCTATATTGGAAGGTTACCTCAGTGATTACCCTCGGCTGCGAAGTAATGTCGGTTTTCATTCACGGATTACGCTTTCAGATATCGACGAGGACATTGGACATACCTTTGTCCACTTCATATATACCAGGGAGTATGAAACTCTTAAACCTACTCCCAACCCGGGTATACATGATTTGCCAAGGGAATTTAGAAGGAGTGTCCAAGTCTACCGTGCGGCCATGGTCTATGAGATACATGGTCTAGAGGTACTTGCTAAGAAGTATATCCAAATTCTCGGCGAATCAATCCCCATTTTCGATGTACTAGAGGCCACCAGAATGATATTTTCAAAACTCCCAGATAATGGAATCTGGTTACGTGAATATATCTACACAAAGCTTAAGAAGGCGTTTGTGCTAGATGAAACGATATTCACATGTGGTGGGATTTACCAGGGATTTGCGGAGGACCGCCCTTTTGAGAAAGAGTTGATGAGGATGATGGCCGATATCTATTCTGACACCATATCCTCGCTTCGTTCTGAAGGCCAGAGAAGCCAAAAAGAACAGATAATCCCACAGAAAGGTAAGTAACTCAAATACTGGAGATAGCTAATAGAGTGGTCCGCTGACTGAGTGAGACCCTACAGTTGAGCTGTCAACTGAATATCCTATTCCCGAAGAACAGCCATCTGAGCCAGAATGTCCCCTTGAGCCAGAATATCCCCCTGAGCCAGAATACCCCCCTGAGCCAGAATACCCCCCTGAGCCAGAATACCCTGTTCCTGAAGAACAGCCCCCTGAGCCAGAATGTTCCCCTGAGCCAGATTACACTGTTTCCGAAGAACAGCCTTTCGGCAAGATGGTGTCTGGACCTAGTGTCTCTATCACAGAGCTCCCCGAGGACATTCGTCTATATATTAACTGGACAAACTTGGGAATAGAAGAAAGGAAGCGAAGAAAGAAAATTCTTAAGCAGAAAAACTTTCCAGTTCCACATCGTGATGGTACCTTTTCTTGAAGATTTGGTCTTTCAGCAGGGCTCCAATGAGCTGGTACTGTATCCAACATACAGTAAATAACACACGATCATGTTGAGCGCTTCTCAAATATTCCTTTCCACTTGTTGGTTGTGACTATTGGACTATTAACTAGTCTCATCAGAGGTCAATCAGAAACCATTACATGTCATTTTAGCTAAACTCGAACGCTTAACGTAGAACATGGCATGTTTATCCATGCCCAGTCTCTACATAACCCGCAGTTGTAGCGCGGCGGGCAGCAAATTGCAATATAATCGTCTATCCTGTATATCTTAGTATGCCCAGATTGCGTTCCAAATCATATCACAGTAGAGTACGCAAAGCACATTAGAAGTTGCTCACATATTTAGATATATACAGCTGATTAAAAACCGGTGCAAATGTTTATAGTCTTCGACTTTCTTTGAAACCCTTATCACGAGATACACTAATCGTCTTTCATAAATTATCTGATGACCTAGGGTACAGGTTCCTATACTAAGTGGTAATGGGTGTCCAATGACTCAGCATATTCTACAGAGCCTGTACCAGCGCGTACAAGCGCGTGTTCCCACACTAGAATTTTCCCGAGCCAGCAGAGATCCTCCCAGAAAATCACGTTGGATCTCTCACACATGTACAGCAGTACATATGACACTTCTATTCAAGACATGTCGATCTCGAGAAATTTCGCGAATTCTGTGCCTAGCAAATCATCAACGTCAGGCATTTGTGGGTTGTTTGCCACGTCTTTGTTATCTTCAGCTGGCTGACTTTCATCTTTATTCATGTTAGCCTTGAGCAGCATACCGGTAGGCATTTATGTATTACCATAATATCCAGCTTCCTCAAAATGTTCGCTATCATGTTTCATCCATAGTCTTTTCTTTATATCAGTCCATTGTTTTCCAACTGCCACGGATCCCACCATCCCAATTCCAATGTTCGAAGCAGTTGTAAATGTCCCCGCAGCAGCGCCTCCCATTGCAGCTCCCTGTAGGGTGGCAAACAGACTCCCAGCTTGAACTACCCCGATTGAAGACTGCCATGCTGCAGCAAAAGAAGCCGCAACAGGCCCTGCAGCGCTGAAACCAACAGCACCTAATATTGCAGGGCCGGTGATCGGTGCTGTAGCGAGAGCAAGTCCGGTACCACTAGCGACTAAGGCGGTTGTATGTTCTCGAGCAACAGTTTGTCCATAATTAAAAATTGAGTTTGTTGCGTTTCTTAGGCGTTCCATGGTAAGCGTTCTAGTATCTCAAAATCTGGAGAAACGGTGTAGATAGGTGGACGGTTCGATTGATTTGCTATGCTTGATGAGGCTGAGATGAGGAGGTTGAGATGAGGAGGTTAAGATGACGAGGTCAAGATGATGAGGGTAGTATTCACAAGTGCGTCGCGATAAGAGTATGGGGCAGAGGTGGGCCAGCCAGCCCCCAGTTAAGAGTAAAAGCTTAAAGGTGTGCTTGAGAGCATCAGATGGTATCATGCCAAGATGGACTAGAGCAGAAATGGAAGAAGACCTGACGAATCAAAAGCAAGCGTGGCAGTGGCGAGTCTATATGATCACATTGTTTTTGTGTACCAGCCTCACACGGGCTTGTTATTCCTCCCTCTGTATCATATTATACGATCTTACAGTGATTATACGGCCAAAACATTACGCGGAATAAAGATATTCCGGGCCGGGCCAAATATAGTCTAGATCTAGCGCCCCAGAAAGAAATCAAGAGTATAAACATTTGCGTCATTTTTTGCAACAACCTGTACACAATGGAGTACGTACAAGCGAGACCGACTGTAACACAGAAGACGAATTGAGCTTCGAACGGATTGTTGCGACTGTTTCTTGAACGTGGGGAGAAAAATGTCGGGACGGGCCGAGACGCGAACCCCTGAACCGCCCGACCGCGAGGAACACGAAAACTCGCCACCGCGATTGGTGAGGCCGAAACGCACGACACGACCACCAGCCCACTATGCTCAAGAGCAAGAGATCGACACTGAGCAGAAAAACACGCGCTCCCAGCGAAAGAAGAAGAATCAGGGCAAGCCAGTCGCCCAACGTGACGCGGCGACTTCGGACGACTCCTCGGCAGAGAGCGAGGACTCAGACACCTCCAAACTTGTGAAAGAGATTGTTAAGCTCAGGAGAGAAATCAGACGACGAGATGAACTACACAAGGAGGGGCTCCACAGAATCAAAGAAGAGTTTGGCGCGGCCCTCGCAGAGTTTCGACATGAATTACAGACCCTGGCGAATCGACCCTCGACACCGCAACCCCACCCCGAGTCATGCGCTCAGAACAGCCACGAGGAGATCCTTCGCGAAATCCAATCCTTGCGCATTGCAGTCAATCCTTCGGGATCCCCGTCCTATGCAGATGTCGCCCGTACTCCCCCCACCAGCCAACCGAGCAATATACGGACTCTCTCATCGTGGAACACAACACCGACTACCTTCACCGACACGCTATATTGCACGATAGACACCTCGAAGATGGCAGATACTGAAAATGAGAGACCATCAGCAGGTCCAATTAGAACGGCAGTTGAGGCTGAGATCCGGACAATGGAAAACCACACGAACTGGCGGTGCCGCGCTGTCACGGTGGACCCAAAGAACACCAGCCGGATCAGAATTGCGTGCCGAGATGAGACTGAACACCAGCTGGTTAAGAAGGCGGCGGAAACCAAGGTCGGCGCAGGAGCCCGAGTGCTTCGTGACGAACTGTACCCGATCAAAGTCGACAGCGTCAACAGAACTGCAGTGCTTGATGAAAACGGTGATATCCGAGCAGGAGCTGCGGCAGCCTTCGGCGAAGAGAACGAAGCTTCCATCGCTAAGATTGCATGGCTCAGCAGAAAGGAGAAAGCGAAGGCCTACGGGTCAATGGTCGTTTATCTGACCAAAGGCAGTGATGCACGGAGGCTCCTGGCCGACGGGTTCTTTCACGCTGGGGGAGAATCCGGCGTGACCAGCACCTTTGAATACCGACCCCGACCGATGCAATGCTACAATTGCCAAGAGATCGGACATAAGGCCTTCCAGTGCAAGAACGCGCAGAAATGTGCAAAATGTGCCGCGGAGGGCCATCACCACAGTAGCTGCGATCCAACGATTCCAAAGTGCATTCCATGCGGAGGCCCTCACGAATCGTACAGCAAAAACTGTCGGAAGCTCTACCCATCGCATCATGAATAGGACTCTTAGAGTTATTCAACTGAATGTGAGGAAACAGGGTGCAGTACACGAGAGCTTAATGAATGACGAAGAGACTCAAAACGCGGTAGCATTAGCAATTCAGGAACCCCAAGCGCGGAGGATTCAAGGCCGGCTCTTGACCACCCCGATGGGACACCACAAATGGACAAAGATGGTTCCCTCCACCTGGAGGGAAGGCAGGTGGGCAATTCGA